ATCTTGTAGAAGTTGACAATGTTGATGGCCCATGAACAGAGTCCGGCGGCAGCCAGTGATTTGCTTTGCACAAATTCAGGTGAGAATTCAGGATCTTTCAGATAGTCGCTAACGGCTTTCAGGCAATTCTCGTGAATGTTCTCCTTGTCATAATTGATCAGGCTATCGAGGAAGACGTCAACTTTGCTCATGATTCCGGCCTTGGCCGCCTTCCAACTGCGATCCTTGGGTACTTTGCCCCCGGGAGCCAGGAGGCACATCACAGCAGCCGTTACGTTGACAACCGCTGAAGGCGGAGAGCCGAATGACTTCATTTCGCTAAGATTGTTCTTGTTCAACGTGTTCAGGGCCGTCTGTGCGGCCAGTAGAGCCGGTTCTGCTTTTGCCAGGTCTTGTTCACAGTCAGACTGCTTTTTGGAGACTTCTTTTTTGATTTTGGCCACCTTCTCCTCCTCCGAGTTGGCCACTTCCTTCTCGCCAGTCACCTTCTCTGTTTCAGCACCCACGATGGCCAGCAATTTGTTGGCGTCCTCATTTTTTTGGGCCAACTCAACCTCTTGAGCAGCCAATTTGGCTTTTAAATCATCCACCTGTTGGGCTGTACTCTCCAGCTTCTGTAGTCCGTTCTCAAGACGAGCCATTTTTGCCAGCAACTCGGAGCTCTTTTTGCGCAACATATTCTCGTAGAGCTGAATCTGCTCTAAAAAGGACTTTGGTGTTGTGTAGTTGTAGCGTCTTTCGTTCGCCAGATAGACAGCGCTCATCTGGTTTACGGACTGATGCACAAACGACATGAATTCGGCCACCGATGGTCTCAGCTCACCGGAGAGAAGGTCGAGGCTGGACAGAAAACGACTGGACACCGAGAGCAGCGCCTCATGAGGCCATTCGTGGAACCAGTCTATGCTGGTACAGTTGACGAGAGCCGGAAACTTGCGTGCTCGCATGCGTAAAGTTGAGCCTACCGGTGAGAAACAGAGCACCACTTTTAGCATACGACGTACACGATTGATGAAGAAACGCCAGCAATTTTCTCGAGTGTCCTGAAGGCCTTGATTTTTCACCTCGCCTCGAACAGCATTCAAGATGTTCTCAACTTCATCGTCAGCAAAGAGGTCGGCAATCTCACCGGAGGCCAACAGATCGTTGACAAGCACCAAAAACTTCTCGTCAGCCACTTGAGCATCGGTGAGCAGAAAGACTACACTGGTGTTTTTGAGACCGGCTTTTGTGTAGAGACCGGCCAGATCAGCGCGTAGCTCCGTGAGACCATAGCCCTTGCGGAGAGTGATCTGGAAAACGTCAATTGAACTGATGAATGCGGCAAGGCGTGACAACGACTGTTTGCCGGAACCGCCGACGCCGACCAGCAGAGCGTTGCCACGAGGCGCCTCGAGGATACGATTGATGCGGAGGATATGGGCAATGGCGTCTTCAAAGAGGACCAAATTCATGGCGGCGTTCAACTCATTGTAGCCGTCCAAGGCTTCAGTGAGCAGACGACTGAGCTCGGCTTGCCGTTCTACAGGCATGTACTTGGGCTCGCCGATGCCTTGAGCAAAGTGGCAGTAGAGCAAGGGACGGTCAAACAGAGCCGCCTCATCCAGATCCTCTAGGGCCTTTTTGGCGGTCTCATGAAGCATTTTGTGAAATTGGTCGACGTCCTCTTGCTCCGTCATTTTGTCGCAGTAGACACGCTCACTTTCATGCAACCAAAGTCGAGCCAAGTCGAGCGGCTGTTTGAGGCATTCCAGAGTTGAGAAGAGTAGACCCTAAAAGAGAAGAAAAATGTGCCGGGATAAATTGATGGAAGAGTAGATTTAAACGTTGTTAGAGGGACCTTCATTTCGAATGAAAGTACATGAAGAAGAGATTCGTTTGTCGATCTCACCAGATG